GTTGTTTTTGAAAGCTTTAAACTTCTCTGCTGAGTCCTTGCTGACAAAGATTCTAAATCCATCCGTCCAAAAACGATTGTTAATAGTGACTGACCAACCTCTGGGAGGAGCATTATTAAAGTAGACTGGCTGGTGTCCTACAAAAGGTGGGTGTTGGTTATAACGTGCTCGGTTACTATGTCTGTGTGTATATGCAGGGGGAACTTCCAGTGTAGCCATGGTGAAAGTGATTTATGATTGATCTTTCAATATACAATTGTCGAAGGTGACAAACAAGGTGAACAAGCATGTATTTATATCATATTTGATTCCAAGGCAGCACGTTGAAGTCAACAGAAAAAGTATGATGTTATATCATGTACTGTGCCCCTTGAATGTAACCATAAACCCACCGCTGATCTTGACCAATAACAATATCGCATTGTTTGTTAAATTGTAAACATGTTTGGTTTGTGTTGATCACCCGAAAATAAACCCCGATTAGCCACACAAAGAGAATCAGTCTCACTATCGGCACTAAAATAAATCGGGCACAGTTTGAAATATAAATCCGTTTGACAGACTCAAAGTATGACACTTTGTAAGTAATATATCAACCACTTGCTGGCCATTTAACCTCCTTTACACGACTAGTTCCAAGCTACTTTTGAGAAAAGATTGATGCTGAACCACGTGCCTTTCGTAACCCCATGCTTCGAGTGTACCATTGTCAACTGTAGCATAGGTGGATGTCAGTAGTAATGTCGTAGCACTGTTGACTTGCCCTTACAGGCTTACCTGAGAGAACTGTGTCAAGGCCAAAATGGTACTGTTCAGTCTATGCACAATTCTATTTAGAGACAGGAGCTGATCACTAGATACTTTCGTAAATCATCATTCGTTGAATAAAAATACATCCATAACTAATACGCTAAACTTCGAGTCATAAAGAGAAAACACAACACTGTGGTGTCAATTAAGCTGTGCTATTTCTGGCATCTTCTTCAATTTTCTTTTGCTTTTTTAACACTGTGGCAACGCAAACAAGTACCAATGCATCTTCATGCATTGAAAGTACGCTTTCGTAATCAATATTGGGGTCTGTATTATACAGGTCGTCAATTTTCACCTCACCATACCCCAATTTGAAACCCCATTCTTCTTCTCCCAATGTAGCTAAGCATTTCTTACCGTAGTATTCCGGCTTAGGCACTCTTGCTTTCGGACGAAACCACATTTTAAAAGATGATCCTATATATGGATTTGGTTTCGTCTTCTCCAACTTGTAAGAATGTCCATCCCAGTTATCAATCAAAGATGGTTGTCCAGGTCTGAGTATACTATGTTTAAACCCAAATTTGACTTGACAGCACGACTTGAATTTCCTTGTATAACTTTCATCAACCCACCTGTGTACTTGGCCCTTGTACACGTAGTCGCAAATAGGCAAGATGGAATGGTCAAACATAACGATTTGAAAATTGGTCTTTGGAGAATTGGGGTCGGGAGTAAAGTCAAAAACCAAGGTGTTATAACCCATATGATACTTTTTTCTCACTTCACAGTATGTAAAGTAATCTTTATCGATATTGAAACTGCCATGTTCTTTGGGGGCATACTTTCTGAAAATTAAAAACGTATCTGTTATATGTTCATTGGGGTTGTTTTTGAAAGCTTTAAACTTCTCTGCTGAGTCCTTGCTGACAAAGATTCTAAATCCATCACTCCAAAAACGGTTATTAATAGTGACTGACCAGCCTATAGAACTAGCATTTTCAAAATACGTTGGTTCATTCTTTACTAATTGTGGGAGCTGTTCATGGCTTACCATATCACTTGATCTGTTCGTATAAGTAGGAGGAGCTTCTGGTTTACCCATGGCGTATGTAGTTTATGATTGATGTTTTGATATACAACTGTTGAAGATGGTAGATCCGGGGCTAGGCTTGTACTTATATAGCTGAAGTTATGATGTCATATTTTACTCCAAGGCTGTACGTAGAATAAAACAGAAAAAGCGTGATGGGGCCGCATGAACTGTGTGCCCCTTGAATGTGTGTTCATAAAGGCACTATGTACGAATGGTTTAACTTAATAACAATGCCCTATTGTTTTGTAATCTTTATTTTCCGTTTTTGTGTTTTGCAAAGATCTTTAACGAAGAGTCATCCAAAAACAAGCGGAGATTAACTCCGTGTTTTAGGATTTAAACTATTCTTAACGCATAGCCGCGCAAAGAGAATCAGCCTCGTTGTCGGAATTAAAACTTGCCGGGCATAGTTCATAAGTATAAACCCGATTGGCATGTTTGGGCTTTACAAGCTCATTGAATCGCTTCTGGTCGATCCATGTACAATTTCACTTCGTCAACGCCTATGCCTAGCAGAAGCTTTATCGCCCTCATATGAAGAGACTTTTCAAATTATAATAATTCTCATAAAAGTACATTTCTAACTAATACCCTTGCTCTTGGTCATAATAAAAAGTAACAATACTTCAACTACCACCACCACCATTGGACCTCCTTCGTCTANTCTCCTCTTCGATATCTTTTTGTCTCTTTAATACCGTCGCAACGCATACAAGTACCAATGCATCTTCATGCATTGAAAGTACGCTTTCGTAATCAATATTGGGGTCTGGATTATACAAGTCGTCAATTTTCACCTCACCATACCCCAATTTGAAATACGATTCTGCTTCTCCCAATATAGCTGAGCATCTTTCACC